AGTATGGCCACTAACTTTCCTCTAATTTGATATATGTGTTTTTATTAGTCGTTATATTAAAGGGGAAATGGGGGAGGGGATTACAAGGTAGGGAATAGAACCCTCACCGATCACCGATAACTAAGTGTTAGAGAGTAGATGCAACTGTTCAAGAATATTTACATATGCATTCATACAATTATTCATCAGCAAAAGAAGCATTCTACTGTAAAAGTTAGAGATAGAAAGGAGACAACAGTGACAGCTAAAAAACGGCACACAAACAGAGAAGGGCAGTCAGATTTTTTTTTTTAATTATTTGGCAGAGAGCATCGGTTGTGTGATAGAGAGCTAAAACTCATGGGCAAAAGAAACTCTTTTTGATAATTTATGATTGGAACTTTCTATGTACATTCAATTGTTTGATAATGTATCTGCTATTTTCAGGAAGTGTGAGAAATATTGGCAGCCATTATTAACCATTAAAAGCTTTGTGATCCTTATTTGAATCTCTTTTGAAACCTGTGTTGCAGGAATTGCCAAGTTAAGTCCTCACTCCACATTACATGGAGGAAGTAAGTGTATGCCTTGAAAATATGTAACATACCGAGTTCAGTAAATGTAGGCTCTATGTTGTCCTGGATGAAGAGAGTGTTCACAACTTCTTTCCGACTCATGTATTGCCGAAGACAGTACTCAATCCGATTTTGCACCTGAAATTCAAAACAAGAATCATCTTTTCACACATCTATGCACAGATCTCGTGATTATTCAATTTGGAACAGCTGGTGATCATCTAAGTAGGATAACCAAGCTTCTTCTTTTTTTGGTATTGGTTGAATTCCATGTTATTAGTGATAACATTCTATAAAGGTTCACTGAAATATAAACATAAAAGAAAACCATTTCTTTTGTAAAAAAACAGAAAAGATGCTCTAAGGAGACAAAGTCCAAGGATTTTATTTGTTGTATATTATCATCAATGAGCCAGCAAAACATTCTTCCATGCAATGGGGAAGAGGACCGAGTACAAATTCTTGGTGTTTTAGAGAAGTGATAATTGTGTTTCTTGAAGAATGATTAATAAATGAGCACTAAACCAAAGATAAAGTAACATGTGGAAGATCACAATTCATCTAAAAAAGATTGAAAGCTTACCATTTGTATTTCTTCACAAGAGACTTTAGGTCCATCTCCGCTCGACATTTTGATGCCCCAACTTCGAACTATTGCAATAAAGCTCTGCACCACTTTTTCAGTAGAAGTGTACACCCTAGCTTATGTGCACCATCAATGAGTATAATTCAAAAAGGTAGTCACTTATACCTATTATCCAGCTTCACTGAAAAATGAGCTCAGATTAGCAAATCACATACTAAACAAGAGAAATTTAAATGAAGATGCAGGGACTGACAAGATTCACCAAAGCAGTCAAATTGATGAGCACTAGAGAAACAGGTCATAAAGGGAATAGTGGCTATGTAGGATATAAGAAATGATGAGCTTAAATGCTAACAAGTACAACAACAAGAAATAAAAAAGTTGGAGAGATATGAGAGGATCTTCAGCCTATGTCCTCATTTTTGCGAGGTTTTTCAGGCAACTCAGAAGAAGCTCAACTAACATTTTACTAGTCAGTATAAACTCGAAATAGTACTTGTTTATTTACAGTTTGTTTTTTCCTTTGTTTACACATAGAACAAACATATATAAAACCCCACCGAAGTCATATGCGAACAGCATATTGTGATCATCACAATTGAAAAGAGACTCAAAGAATACATGAAACCCAGAAATATCAAGAGCAATAAATTGGACAAACAAACTGATTATCAATTGAACAAATTACAATCACGAACCAAACTGAAATACATCAACATAGAGCAAAATAACTTCAAGAAAACGGAAAAAAATACAAGTAATCAGAAAGCATTAAACTGCACAAAACGAACTGAAATCAATGGAGCAAACATAGTTTCAAGAACCAAACTGAAATGGCATTAAGATAGCAAATACATAAATAAAGGATGCAGAACTCACCTCCTAGGGTAAATATTCAGAAACTTCGTGCTACTTCTTATGGAAAGACAGAAAAGAGATGCAATTGAAACTAGTCAAGCTGATGAACCCTAGAGCAACAGGTCATTGAGAAGGGGAAGAGGGTCTATGCAGGGGATAAGTAGTGATGAGCTTAAACAATAACAAGTACAACAACAACAAATTAAAAAATGGAGTGAATGAGAGGATTTCAGCCTGGCTTCATTGCCAGCAAGGTTTTTAGGAAACCCAGATGAAGCTCAACTAACATCTTGCTAGTCAGTAGAACCTCAAAATAATAGAACCAGTTACTACAATTTGTTTCTCCTTTGTTTACACATAAAACACACACGCATATAAAACCATACCATGATGATATGCAAACTCGTGGTGGAGCTAGGATTTTCACTAAGAGAGTTCAAAATATGAAGAAGTAAACACATAAATTGGCAAAAGGGATTCAACATCTACTGTATATACAACAATATACCCAGTGAAATCACACAAAGTGGGGTTTAGGGAGGGTAGAGTGTACACAAACCTTACCCCTACTCTTTGGAGGTAGAGAGGTTGTTTCGGAAAGACCCTCGCTCAAGTGAAGCAAATGAAAGTACTAATGGAAAGCAAATCTACTATATGTACATAAAAAAGAATTTTAACCGTAACGAGTGTAATTTGCCGAAGGCCTCGGTACTACCCAGCTCTGCTTCGGATGGTGAACTACATACTACCTTAATTCAACATTTCGAACCTTATACATCACAATTTAAAAGAAAACAGAAACCCAATAAATAAGAAAGCATTAAACTTGACAAACAAACTGATAATCAATTGAAGAAAATACAACCACAAAACCAAACTATAAATACATCAGAATAGAACAAAATAACTTCAAGAAAACTAAACCCCACAAATCAAAGGCATTACACTGCAGCAAACAAACCGAAATCAATTGAACAAACACAGTATCAACTATCAAGAACCAAACTTTAAAAAATAGAGCAAAATAACTTCAAGAAAACTAAACCCCACAAATCAGAAAGCAATAAACTGCACAAAACGAACCGAAATCAATTGAACAAAGTATCAACTATCAAGAACAAACTTTAAATTATCAAAATAGAGTAACTTCAAGAAAACTAAACCCCACAAATCAGAAAGCATTAAACTGCAGCAAACAAACTGAAATCAATTGAACAAACACAGTATCAACTATCAAGAACCAAACTTTAATTAAAATAGAACAAAATAACTTCAACAAAACAAAACCACAAAAATCAGAAAGCATTAAACTGCAGAAAACAAACTGAAATCAATTGGATAGACACAGTATCAAGAACCAAACTTTAAACAAAATAACTTCAAGAAAACTAAACCCCACAAATCAGAAAGCATTAAACTGCAGCAAACCATTGAACAAAACACAGTATCAACTATCAAGAATCAAACTTTAAACAAAATAGAACAAAATAACTTCAAGAAAAACTAAACCCACAAATCAAAAAGCATTAAACTGCAGAAAACAAACAGCAATCAATTGAATAAACACAGTAGAACCAAACTGTAATACATCAAACTACATAATCAGTACAATAACTTAAGCAGAAAACTCACCTACTTGAGTAAATTTTCACAATTATATGCAATTGGAAGTCTTTTTAGTGAATTGAACGAAGCAGAAGAAGAGTTGTATAAGGATTTTGATTCAAAAGAAGTTTCTTTTTATTGAAGAAAGGGAAAGGTAACAAGTGATGACGTGGCTATTTCGCCATTACATAAGACTCTCTTTGGTGCTTTTCCCTCCTGTAATTCCACTCTTATTATTTATTTTCTATTTTTCTTTTTCCCCTTTTAGTAGTAAAAAAAAAATAGATTTTCATCTCTCATTAGAGTCTGACTAATCTGAATTCGTTTACATAGGATTTTGTGTCACGTAGGATTCTATTCAGGGGAAACGCTACTATACGCGAATTTTTTTTATACCTAGAACTTGAATCTAAAAATTCTGATTAAGAAAGAAACAGACTCATACACTGCATCAAATCATTTGATAGTTATGTTTAGTTAATTATTATAGGTGCTTTTTTGGAAATTTGAACAACTTTTATTTCTTGATGGGCTAATAAAGGAAAAATACTTGTGGTCTATTATTAAACTTTAGTGAAAAGTGTATTTTTTAAAAAAAATAAATAAAAATTGGGGCTTAAAGAGTATATAGGAATATTTTTTTCTTTTCTTTAGAATAAAATAATTTTTAATTTGATATATGGATTTCTAGTTTTATAACTTATTTTTGTTGTTGTTTTTTTATTTAAGTTGGCTTTTGAATCTTTTCCAAGTTAATGGGAGAGAAAAAAAGTGTAAAACAGTCCATTATCTTTAGAGTTCTAGACACAAAATTATTCTATTTATTTGAGAGTAGCATTAAATATTAGTAATTCTAACTAAGATAACTCTTCAATAAAAATAATTGACGTGGAGATAATTTTATATAAAACATCACCTTCTTATCGTTATTATTGAAGATTGTAAATACTTATTTAAGTTTATGAATATCATACACACCTAAAGAGACAAACTAACGTATTGCCTTTCTGACAAAACGAAGGTCAAATACATTATGAAGCTTTGTTAGTATGGGAAAGAACGATAAAAAATATGGAGTTTTTTTTTCCTCGATTGATTTAAGCAACATAACTTATGAAATATTATATTATTTCTATTGTACCAAAAAAAAATAATATTAAAAATGCTCAATACTTTGAAATTCATGGAGTATAGCTTGATTTGATAATAGATTTGAGAAAGGCCTAAAACAATCCTAACTTAGACCTGCAAGAAAGTATTGTTGCACTCATGCCGAATCCTCTGAATATGTATAGCTATCGATAAATCCAACATACAACCAAATGATATATCTTTAAAGAGTATCGATAAATCCAACATACAACTAAAGATATATCTTTAAAGAGTCGGAACAATTTCTAACTTGGACAAAACATTTGGTAGAGCATAGGGAGATCCCAATAAGTAGCATCATTGTTATTACTATCATGAAAATTCTCCCAATACTCATTCACTCCATTCATAGCATATAGTGATGCTGATATTTGTCTTTCAACTTTCATATTTTCAAATTCAGGTATTTGAGAATGATCTTCAAGAATTCCCTTTGGTACTTCGTGAAAGTTATCAACATTTTCATCATCCAGAAGAATCGTATCAAAATCATTTGTAAATGTTGATGTATGATCGAAATTTGAAGATCCTATTCGATCAATTTCACCCATATAGAAGTTCAAATCCGGCTTATATGCATCATCATTAGATAATACAGTTTCTTGATGAGTAGTTAATGAAGTCGAAATAGTACTGGTACTACTAGTACTTTTGTTGAGGCTTTTCTTATGATTGATGAGGTTTCTAATTTTCATAGAAAGAGCAGGATTAATGGGAGGGGAATGATTATGGAAATTTGTTCGAGCATTTGATCCTCGGAGAAGACAAGCAGCCTCATCATAAGCTCGAGCAGCTTCTTCAGCAGAATCAAACGTTCCAAGCCACATCCTGATCTTTTGTGTTGTGTTCTTGATCTCTGCAACCCATTTTCCAGAAGGTCTTTGTCTTACACCAACAAATTTTCTCTGTTTTTGAACTTTAGGACTACATTTTTTGATGGAATTATGTAGTTGTTGTTCCATATGGAAGTTAAAAAGGGGAAAAAAGATGTTAAAAGGACTTAGAAGAGAGGAAATAGAGAGATGTTTAAACAAAATGAGACAATGTTAAGGTTGTTTATATAAGTCTTTGGAGTTTATGGTGAGCCTTGTCTTCATTTACTTGTTCTTTTATTAGTTGACTCAAATTTCGAAGTGCGTGAACCACGTAGAGTTCTGGTGGGATGGATAAGATCGTTTTAATATTAATCGGGAGTTTCGTGTTCGAACACTGAAAATAGAAAAAAAAAATCTTATGCGGATCCTACGTTTCTCCGTTGAGTTTTATATAGCGCGAATCTGAATCAATACCGAAGGAAACAAAAAAAATTGTGTGTTGTGATGGGATGGATAATAAGATCGTTCTACTATTAATCAGGAGTTTCGTGTTCGAGCACTGAAAATAGGGGGGAAAATACTTATAGGGGTCTTTTTATTTTCTACTTAGATGAGTTGTACTTAACGTGAATCTGAATTAATGGATGATTTAATACAGATATCGAACACGGGATGGAAGCAAAAAGAAAATGTGTGTTGTGGAGAGAAGATGTGGGAATATGTTATGTCATGAAGGAAAAATGACTTGTTTAATATGAATGATTAAACAAATTATATTTGTTTAAAATTATTTTAATGTTTGTTGTGTGTGTGTTTGTTAGTTTGTTATATTTGCTATATTTTTGCTCCAAGTCTCACACTTATGCACGTTCTTTGTCTTTTTGGTTAAAAGGGGTGGGAAAGATGCCTTAGTTTTTGGCATTTTATCTCATAGAGATTCTTTTCTTTTTATATATATAATAACAATAATAATTAATATTTTGGATTATGAAAATACCTAACATATCAACTACTATATGTCTAATTAATAAAGGGTATATGGAATTTTTTTTCTTTTTTTCTTAAGTTCTAGTCATGAACTCATGATGACATTGTATGTATTTAAGTCCTATTTTTATCCTTAAAAGGCACATTTTGTCAATTTTGTAAACCATGACACTAGAATAAAAATAGCTTTAGCAATAATAAATATACACATTAACAACGAGTGTTAAAGTCTTTATCGTCATTAGTTAATTGTCATTGAATTCAATATCGCTATAGGTTGTAGAGACATTTTAAAAAAAGTGTGTGTTAGTGCTAAAAATGACAATTAAGCTATTGTCACTAATAATTGCCGCTAAAACTAATTTTTGATGTCCGCAAAAAGCACATAAATGATATCCTATGTTTATCTTGACAAGGAGTGATCTTACTTTTCGTCGAATACATGAATAGAAATAAAATAAAATGAACATAATCTCTTTTGTCTTTAATTAAATACGAGTATTTTTCTCTTTAATGAATCTTAAACGATATGTAAATCTAAATTAGTTAGACTGATAAATACCAAATATCAAATGGTTATACCTTTTTTAATGTCTCAATTTTTACTTTCGTTTCAAGAAAATATTAATATGAATATCCAAAACAAAACAAAAAAAAAGATTGACTCACTCAACTAAAGATGAAAATTAATAATAAAAATTAAATAAAATCTTCTAAAATTATCATTTTAAAGATTTCACAAGGGAGAAACATAAAAAATTTGAGACATGCTAGGCAGTACATGATTCTAGATACCATGTCACAAAGTACAAAATGTATAGTATAATTATAATAATTATTATTATACTATTAAAAGAAATAAAAGTCAAATATGGTCTAGTTATTGACAAAAATAGCATAATATTTGGTAGATTAATTAGGACAACTTTGTAATGTGTCAACCATAAAACTAAGTTGCAATCACGAACCTGGCCTGCTATTTATATTTTACTTTTTCATCATTTTCTTAAATAATTTGGTTATATCTAAAATCTGCCATTTGGATACATATTATACTTCTAAAAAAATTTCAAAATAAAAAATAAAAAATCATCCAATAAGTATAATGTTTAGTTTCATGGAGACTATAGTAGGTACAATATTAGAATCTTTTGGTTGCACGCTTCATTTTATAACTTGAACAACAACAACTAAACCTACTAGGTTTCTAATCTGGGGCTACAAGTTTATTAGAATTCGATAGTTTTAAATTATATTATGTATTTACATTTAAAAATTCACTGAATAATTTTATTTTTTTTTAATTTAGAACCTATGAACTCAAAATTGTAGCTCTACATATACGAAAAACATGGGGCCTTTGTGTTAGTTGGGAATAATACTACAAAGTATAAAATGGAATCTATTAAACGCTCGACTCAAAAGGAAAAGTAGCTGAGAATATATAGTACTAAATTGGGGATCTATTTGAGTTGAAAGATGCCTTAAAATGGAGAAATGTCACATCAATTCACAAGTCTTGCTAGTTATAAGATGGTGTATTACATGCCTAAACATAAATATAAATCCAAAATTTAGGATTATTATGTTAATGACCCTTTAAATTTAAGTACCAAGAAGAATGATTACCTTTTATAACGTCAAGTTGATAAAGTATATATTATATAACATGTCTTCTTCAACGAAAAACAAATGAAATTTAGGACAACAACGATTTCCAAAAGTAAAGACAATATATACGTTGCGATTCCTTATTGGTGGACTTAATGTTGCATTCTTTTTTTATATGTCTGAAATTCCCAATGAACTTATGTGAAACCCTTAGACCAAGTATCTAAGGTTTGGTCTTAAATTTGTGTATATGAACTTTGACCGAAATTAGTGTAACAATTCCAAATTTTGGGCAGGATCAAATATCTTTGTGCACTATTTAATAATGTATTTTAAAGATATATAAGTGTCCAACTGAACAAGTTACTATTTATTATGATGCAATATTTATGATGTCACGCCCCGAGCCTACACCCTGGACGTGGCCGGCACTCGAAGACCATTTCTGGTCCCCAAGCGAACCCTCATCCTGGCTGACTCCAAGCGGAATACTAACTTAAGCATACAAGAGCTTAAAACTGAATAAGAGTTTATAAACTCAACTTTATAAATCTTTAACTCAAAAGAAAACTCTGTATAATAGAATATATATACAACTCGCCATAAAAAGGCAACTTTTAGTCTTCAAAACATTTAAACAAAATAAATGAAGAGACTTCTGAAACTCTATTGTCTATCTATGAAGCCTCTAACTGATAAAGATGGAAGCCGGGACAAGACCCACGACCTCCTAACAACTGATACAACTGAAAGGTAAATGAAATCCTCCGGAAGCAAAGAGGCTTGTCATAGCTAACTGGAACTCCCGGATGTATCAACGAATCTCCTGTTGATGATCCTGAATACCTGTGTCTGCATCATAAAAAGATGCAGGCCCAAATGGCTCAGTACGTGGAATGTACGAGTATGTAAGCTAGAAAGCTAAACAACATAGGCTAGAAGAAAAAACTGGAATAAATTGAATAACTTACCTCTTTTCAAACTTTCTCAACTCAAGGAATACCCCAAAACTACTCAAACTTACTCAACTCAGAAGATAGATACTGGACTCAGAGACAGATACTCAACTCAAAGATAGATACTCAACTCAAAGATAGATACTCAACTCAAGATAGATACTCAACTCAAGGATATATACTTAACTCAAGATATATACTTAACTCAAAGATACTTAACTCAAGGATACTCGACTCTTGAATAACTGAACTCAACCTGACTGACTTCTTTCAATATAAGGCAATTTAAAACAAGTGCGATATAAAGAAAGACTGTTTAAAACATGCTATAAACTCTGAGTGTATACAAGGATACAATAAGCCTGAGATGTATATAGAAATACAATTGAACTGATGTATATAAAATACAATAATTTATGTGTATGAAAATACAATAACTGCTGTGGGAGTTTCCTCTAACCGACAACCATCACATAAGAGCTATAGTGATGATACAGCGATCGACCTCACGCTGCCAGAGCATCTTATACCCGGCCAAAGGTATAAGACCTGAACTGCCTAATGGATCCACTAGTCTAATCTGAAAAGAATTCATCTAAAAAGTATGATCCTTTTCTACCCATGGTGGCTAACATGGTTCTATGGGGGCTGTGGGTTCTTTGAACGCTCCCCCAATTCGGTGCTCGATACTACTCCCAAAAATGTACTGGCTCTTATGTTTTTTAAAACATATTTATTCCTGCTGATATGAGATAATTACTCAAAAACTAGCCCGAAGGCTCTTTTGGAAATCTCAGTTTCCAACCTTGTTTAAATGTAAAAACATTTCTTTAAAACTTCTTTGGGAATACATAGTTCCCTAATAACTTTGAGAAATGAACTCAACTCTTTACTCTTTACTTTACTTGAAACTCGATACTTTGACTCAACTTGAAACTCTTTACTCAACTTGAAACTCTTAACTTGGAACTCTTCATTCTTTACTTAACTTGAGCCTTAAAATGAAGTTAAAACGATCAATGAAGACTCTTGGAAAACCTTAAAGACTTGTTTTGACTTACTTACTTCTAAGTTTGACTTCACTTGACTTGGAAACTAACTTCACTTGACTTTGAAACTAACTTCAACTTGACTTGGAAACTAACTTCATTTGACTTTGAAAACTAACTTCACTTGACTTGGAAACTAACTTCACTTGATTTGGAAACTAACTTCACTTGACTTTGAAACTAACTTCACTTGACTTTGAAACTAACTTCACTTGACTTGTAGTTTTACTTGACTTTTGGAAGTACCTTGGAGTGTTGGAAACAACTAGGAAACATAGGTATAATACCTAGGAACATGTATAAAAAAAGAAATGGTGAATGAAAGGGAAGGATTGGTGTCCTTGGCACTAGGAGAGGTGCAACAGCCCAGCCCCTTTTTCCCCAAAAAATCCGACTTTTTCCCCTTGTTTCTTTCCAATTCTAAACCCTCTCAACCTCAAGGTTTCAGCAGCAACACTTAGAATCATAAAGACCCTTATTATACAATAGATTCAACTCAAAAATCACAGCCAGAAATCTGTACTAAATCAGCAAGAACTTCAAC